CTCCACATGCCTTCAGAAAACAGCATGCTAGGTAGAACGGATGCTTGAGTGAAAACATTGTCTTGTGATAGAGGATATATCAAAAAGTGAAAGTTCATTTACCAGACCCCGAGATGAGCATTTTGTATTGATGGAGAAAAGGACCGTAAAAGGGTCATCGCATCTCTGTGTCATCCCCTGCAGTCCCAAGACTGGTTCCTTTCAATCTTGCTACTTGGATATAACTTGCAACAATTCTCTAAAGAGGAAGAACTTTAGAATAAATGGAATGCTAAATCTGTCTAATTTATGGTATGGAGACCTGGTCAGCTGGGGCCAAGGTTAATTTTATCAGCTCCTTATCTCAGCAGAAATATGCAGGGAAGCAAAGATGAAGTCTGTGAATAAAGTCCCTGATGCCTGATGCATCATGTACATAAGTAGTCAGAAATACTGCTCCCTTAGTGCAACTAAAAGCATAGCCACAAATCAGCCACCTAAAGCACAATTTGTGCATTTAATCAAACATAGTTGGAATCCCTATTTTGGTTGCACAAATTGACCAACAGGCTTTAAAGGCTGAAGTAACAAAGCACATCTGGGATAAGAGAGTGATATCAGAGAACTGTGCAGCCTGATGAGCAATTAACAACATGGCAAATCAGTACTAGTGAGGAAAAAGGAGTTTCATTATTTGTGATTCAGCAGAACAAAAATTTTTTATGATCTTGCCTATAAAATGGCATATAAGGGAAGCAAATACAGGACTGAAAAAAACCTTAGGGTTATCATTAGTCTTGCAGTGATATCTGTCTAATCCTGTCTAATCAAAAAATGTACCTACAGTTTGAAACAGATATGCAGTTAATCTTCTCACGTTGTTCTTCCTTCGCATATTCAGAAAATGAAATTGCATCCGTTACCTCTTCACTCCTTGATTACCTGATTAGTGAGCAAGATGTCATCTCACTGTGATTTCTTGGACTTTCATTCTAACAAATTAATTAAATGGAAAGGCCAAAACATCATGTAGAAAATTCTTGCCTTTCATTATTTTAATATGTCATTCCAAACTGGAAGATACTTTTCATACACATACCCGAGGTTCACAGATAGAAACCAGAGACAAAAAGGGGGAAACAAGGCACTGCTGGCAATCTCATCAAACCACAAATGTGGGCTAGTCAGATACTGACTCATTACCTGCGAAAGACTGAACTTGTTCTAGACATTCTCATACTCTGAAACAGAGCACCAACAGGGCAAACAAGCTTCAGATTTATTACTTCTGGCAAATGACAGAGGTGTTCGGTCACATAACAGCTGTCTTGTAAGAAAATAAATGAAATCCAAACCATTTTACTGATTCTGTGCTGTTCCAGAAGTAACACTGGACACGACCTCTGACCAAATGCAGCTCTGTCAGAGTCCAGCAGGCTCCCTAGAGTAGTCACACACTACCAGAACAACCATAGTCAAAATCAACATGTGAACCCAGGTCTTCATTTTTCACAGTTTATCCCAGCTGCTTTACATATTCCTCTGCATTAACTTAAGAGGTGAAGATAACCTGCTCAGTAAATATGAACAAGCAGCAAAAAGGCATAAAACTTCAGTTACTGTTCAGTAAATACTTTAATTCTATGAATTCCATTGCTGATATTTGTACCCCTTTTCTTTGACGAAAACAAACTAAGCAGTTACCCTGCTGACAGAACAGAATCACTAAATCCAGATAAAGTTCACAATTTTTGTGGAAAAAGAATAGAATGACAATCATATGACATACATTTATCACACACCTAACACACTTCTGGAAACTGGATATGTTCAGCAAAAAGCACACAGAGCAGGAATTTAGACAGAACAAAATGAAACGCCTGAAAGCAAGGTTTTTGGCAAGGAACTGTCCCCATTTAGATGAGGAAAGACTGCATTTCTCAGCAATTTTTCAGACCCAACACAAATTCAAAGCTTGTACTTTGAAGAATTTCTCCTGCCCTTCCTAGTTCATGGAAATTCCATCTCCGTCAGCCAATTCAAGGGAATCTGAACAGCAAATTCCATTAACCTGAACTCTGAGACAGCAACTTGGCTACTGTGAGTCACTGACAGCTGGAAATAATCCTACCAGCTTTGGAGAAACACCAAATTCAGTGTGATATCCACCCCCGTGTACTCTAGTGTACGAAATCCAGCAAATCTGAAAGGAATCACAAGGATCCTACCACATACTGGAGAGGGAGATGTCAGTCTACTTGAAAAAATCCCTCAACAGAGAAGGAGCCTGCTTCAGGCAGCCCCTGTGCCCACAGCTCCTCAGCACTTTATGTTCGAACCTGATGTTTCTAAAACAGAGATCTGAACTTTTACCTGCACCTGAGTTTCTGGTTTGGGTGATGATCTGAAAAGTGGGCTTAGACAGCTTTCCTGCACGAAGCAGTTATGTTTGCAGTCACCTCCAGAACATCAGTTCTCTGGGCACCAGAAATGAAGGGGAGAAGGCAATATTATTGTATGCAAGGAACTGCTTCACTTTTCACATGCATAAAAGAATGTTTAAGCCCTGCTCCATCACAGATCACAGACACCACAGAACACCAGGGATGAGCCATCATCTCTTTTCAATGCTTAAAATTACACTGTGCATTGTATACAGCTCTTGCTAGCCAGCTAGATTGATTGCATCCCTTCAGCTTAACCAATTACACAAAAATCACAGAAGGCACACAGTATACAATTAATTTAAAGAATGAGAGAAACGAGGAAAGAAGCAACTTAATTCAGATCCTCCAAACTTCTACAAAAGCAGATTTGGAAGCAAGGAAGTTGTTGGTGGTTTTTTTGTTTGCTTGTTTTTAAAGAAATCCATATCTTCTAGAGGACTACAACACAAGCAAAACTCAAAAACTGCCCTGAGACAACACATAAGCTTTGTTTGGTCTAATGGCCCTGTCTGCAATAGGAAGTTTTAGGGAAAAAACTTGATACTGCCTCCATCTCACTTATATCATTGAGTTTCATGATTTATCTGCAAAAGGTAAAATGACCAAAGATGCTTACTAAGCCCCAGTACTACCATAGGAATTGCTAAATTGGACCTTATTGGAAATGATTATTCTCAACAACCCCCAAGGTACAGAGAATTATTCTTTATGATTATTTGATAAAATTACAATCTCATAACTATAACTTCTTCCCGGCCAGATCCTCACATCAACCTGCCATCTCTTGCTATTAAGCTAATTTCTTGGTAGCTTCCAAATCCTTCTGCATGCTGTGTTCTCCAAGACTGCTCCTCACCACCTCCTGACAGAAGAAATATTCCAAGTACAACTGGCAACTCCAATTCATATTGCTGTGCCAAAAGTCAGTCAGAGACAGACTTCTGACATGCAGAACCCACTGTGAGTTGCATGCAGCACACTCCTTACTTCAGTATCCTTCTGTTAAGAGACTATCAGTCTCCTTATTCAGAAAAGTTTTTATGATAGGTGTCGTAGAGCAAAAAAGTCACACAGCACCACCTTGCTCTACACGGCACATTTATCTATGCGCAAAGACAGGACAGGAATCTTGCCTTGCCTTTTTTGATTTCAGGATGTATACCCTGAAATTTATTAGACATCTTTGAAATGGCCAAAGGAAAAGGGGGAGAAAAAAAAGAAAAAAGAAAAAAGTATAACACCATTTAGGCATTAAATATCTCTATTAAAAACTTTACCACAGGAAACAATAACAGCAACTGACCAAATTTCAATCTGTGTATCTCAGAATGTTCAAGAACTAGAAACCCAAGTTTCAACTCTCAAAGTCCAGCTTTCTAATGGAATGTATTTGTGTTTAATCTTGACTATTCATTCCAAGATATTTTTCTTTGTATGAGTTTAAAAAGCCTCTTTAGGCTACTAGTTGGGAACTTTCAGAATGTTTTACCCACGGCTCTCTTCAGGTCCTAAGATACTAAGCTGGTGACTCCAATACAGAGTATTTTTACGGTACAGGTAGATAACACCAGTATAAATAGAGAACAAGAATAAGGAAATTTGTCTGCAAAAGACCAATACACACATAACTGACAACCTAAAGTTTTATGGATGCTCCTGAAGAATGGACGTCAAACCTTATGCATGACATCCCCATTTCTGACAGTTAATGCAGTCATGAAAAACAGACTAATATAAACTTTATGGTATCACCTATTTACTTTCATCTATGAGGTATAAATATTGTCCTATAAACACAGTCTTGTTTGTAGCTTATCTGCGTGCAGACAGAGCACAAACACTACTTCACAACGATAAAGCACTGAGATGTTTTTAGAAGCTCCCTTTTGTGCTAACACTCTTTTATTTTAATCTATTCACTGCCAATTGAAAACACTTGTAAAATGACACCCACACTTCACCTTCACGTGTCTGGCACACAGTATTTCACTGACAAGGGAGACTTCGAGAAATTCCTACTCAAGTACTACCAGCTCCTTCCCAGTCACAGCAGGGCAATAAACATAAACCCATCTCGTAAGTAGGTCTGGCTGGCCAAAACCTGTTCTCTTTCGAGGAAAGCTTGGGTGCCACAGTTAGTCTCAGAAGACAGTTGATGTGTTAGACATCAGATTTGATGTGGAATTCACACAACTGTAGAAAATAGGTGGTCACACACTCCTCAGCCATCCTTTCCCATGGCAGACACTAAGTAGAAATCATATTTTTATTACTGTTTATTTCTGGGGTCTTAGAGATTTCTATTGCTCTAAATTCAGATCTGTGCAGTAGGTGAAACACACTGACTTTTCAGCTCCACTAGTTTGTGGTGCTGCAGAATGCCACAAAATTTACACTAAACCATAATTTAACCAAGCTTTGATGGCTGATGATCAAAACTTTATGAGCTGGTAGATTAGATTCTTCCCATTGCAAACCTAGATACAGTTTAAGGTGACAGGTTCGGTGAGTTTAAATTTATCAGTTCCTAAGAACATACATCTACATCAAAGAAGATAGAAGTTAAATACTCACCCTTTCAGCAGCACCTTTGTTCAGAAGCCAGCACACAGAGCAAAAGCCAACAATGCCTGGCTCACAGTCAACCCTCCAGCTGGGGAAAAAAAATAAAAAAGAGTAAAATGGGTCTGGATTAGAGGTACACAGGAAGGAAAGATCAAAGATTACTTTATGGGAGTATTAAGATCATCATGTACAGGTTGAGCAAACAATCACTTTGTTCTAAACACGAACTATTCAACAAGACAGTGCACACACTATTGTGCCTCCTTAAGTCTCAGCAACTAGAAGACAGAATTTTGTAGACACTGAAATTAGATAAAATGAAAGGCAGGAAGGGAGAGAATACGGTAAGAACTTCCTGGCTTGTTTAAGAGGTGACAGCTCACTAGTCAGGGTTACAACTTCCATGACAGTGCCATCGAGTCACTGAGTTCAGCTTTAAATTTCACATGAGGACCTTTCCTATAATGAAAGTGGTAAAATAGCCTCAGATGAAGTTCTCTATATACTGGAATTGAGACAGCAGCTTAAATCCCTGTACAGATGCATGTAGAGACCACGTATAGAAATGCAGTGTACATTAGTTTTGTCTTCGTGTCATTTGAAAACTCAGGTTCCATTTCTACTCTTTACAAAGGAAACCCCAAAACTGGTACACTTCCCAAATTCTTTACATAATCTCCTCCAGTTAATTGCAGGGCTGCCTGCCAACCAAACACAGCCACATAACTCCACTCACAAGCCTGCAACGTGGGCAGCTGCTCCACATGGTGACTCTTCATCATCTCCCTCCACCACACCAGAGCCTAGGGTACCTGACAGCCTATCCAGAAAAGAAGGAACTGGCACAGCAGAAGCTTTTCAGGTTCACTGCCAGTTTGGCAAAAGGCAAACAAGACGTCTAGGGCCGCCCTTCATTCTCTCAGATGCAGTCATACTGGCTTTCTGACTGCAATTTAACATACAATTTCATCCGCTATGGAAAAATTCTTTGCTGCCTTCCTCTGCACTAAAGAGGCTACGCTCCTGTTCTCACCTCCTGTCCCTTGCAGGCTGGCTGAACATAACTGTGAGGAGTAACTCACGGTCTGGGAGCTGCCTTTCCATCATTTACCTCGATGTAAACAGAAACAAAACAGTGCAACCAGGCCTTTCTCAGTATAGTTTACTCCCATTTATCTCCAACCACAGCTTTTAGGCAGTATGTAGCAACATAATGCTCTTGAAAATCACTCTCCAATCTTATTCACCTTTCTCTACCCCCAATATTTTTACATCGTTTGCTCTAATGCTCCTTTTTAAAGCATATTTTCTAAAGAAAGGCAGGATCTAGGATTGGTATGCAATCACATAGATTGGAACTGTCAGGAAGCATTAGGGATGCAAAAATAAGAAGGTAAGAAAGGCTGCCAACTTCCCTTAATACCTCAAAAGCAAACAGAAATTAAATGGGTGAAAGAGCCTTACTAAATTATCCAACCTATTTTCATCTGAACATGGACTCTTTGATGTTAGATTATTTTCCAGATATTTCTACAAGTCTATATATACAAATATATATATATATATATAGTTTGTTCTTCCACCCCTTGCTTTGGGGGTGCATTTCATAATCTCACTCCCTCATTTCCAGTTATGTCCCTTCATACCTTATTACATTAATTACTTTTCATCTTTCAAGTATGCACCTCTCAAATTTTCATTGACTGTTATCACTTCTCATAACAGCACTTCATTTATCACACTGCCAAGGAAAGTATATCTACCCATCCCCATCAATCCTTTGGTCTGTACTCACACGCCATTTTTCCCTCAGCTCTGTTCAGTTAGTTTCTATCTGTCCAGAAACAAGATTTTTGGCCCTGTGAGCTTGGCAAGTTAACTCTCACAGTTGTTCCAGAAGGAACTGTTCTTCAACTTATATAACCCCAAATCATATTAACTTGTTGCTTGCTTTCATAATGCATCTGCAAACTGGTTGATCTGCTGCACAGCCACCCACCCCCAAATGCTTGGAACAACACTCGTGCTTTTCCAGTTCCACTCTCCCTGGATGCACACATTTCAGGTTAACTGTTTTTTGACTACATTCTTTCCAGCACCTCCACACAAATGGGAAATACCTAATTTCGATAATCTCTCCCTACTTCTAATACCTCTAGTTCTTGTGTGTTAAGTGGCCTTTCTTCACCAACATTTGATTTACCTACAACATTTAGCCTCAGAAGTCTGGAAAAAAAGTAGCCTATCAGAAGATTCTCAGAGCCATGCATTTCCCAGCAAGACACAGAGAGAGAAGGTCTCCACGTGACCCAACATGATGTTCAGCACAGCTGTGAATGTGTTTATATTTCTGAGATTTCCTGCAGAGAATTTCCTACTTTCAGCCTAAATCACCTAATGTAAAAGGACAGGAGCAGACCAAACAACCCAACATATCTTAATTCCATGCACCAGTACAGGTTGAGGGATGACCTGCTGGAGGGGAGCCCTGCGGAAAGGGACCTGGGTGTCCTTGTGGATGACAGGTTGGCCATGAGCCAGCAGTGTGCCCTTGTGGCCAAAAAGGCCAATGGCTTACTGGGGTGCATTAAAAAGAGCGTGTCCAGCAGGTCAAGGGAGGTGATCCTCCCCCTCTACTCTGCCCTGGTAAGACCTCATCTGGAGTACTGTGTCCAGTTCTGGGCACCCCAGTACAAAAAAGACAGGGATCTCTTGGAAAGAGTTCGGCGGAGGGCCACGAAGATGGTGAAGGGCCTGGAGCATCTCTCCTATGAGGAAAGACTGAGTGAACTGGGTCTGTTCAGCCTTGAGAAAAGAAGACTGAGAGGGGACCTGATCCAGGTCTATAAATATCTAAGGTGTGGGGGGCAGAATGGCGAGGCCAGACTGTTTTCAGTGGTGAGTGGAGACAGGACAAGGGGAAACGGCTGGAAACTGCAGCACAGGAAGTTCTGCACAAATGTGCGCAAGAACTTCTTTACAGTGAGGTGACGGAGCACTGGAACGGGCTGCCCAGGGAGGTGGTGGAGTCTCCTTCTCTGGAGATGTTCAAGACCTGCCTGGATGCCGACCTGTGCGACCTGCTGTAGGGAACCTGCTTTGGCAGAGGGGTTGGACTCGATGATCTCTGGAGGTCCCTTCCAACCCCTACAATTCTGTGATTCTGTATTTTCCTTGACCATCTTAAGCCACGTATGCTACACAGTTAAGCCAACAGCAGTGAGAAAACTAGGCATTTATCTTGCTTCGCTTTCCCACACATTAACCAGCCACATGCTGCTGTGGCCACCACTTGTTGCAGTGCCCATGGAACTTTCCATTTTTAGATTCAGTTTATCATTCACCTGTGCATTTATAATGGCACATGAGATTACAGAGTGACAGGAGAAAAGCTGGACTGTGTGTAAAAGCTATGCCACTAAAAAATGTCCACTATTGGCCTTGTATTTCCATTTGTAAGCAACACCTCAGTACAGGAAAATAAAGCTGAACAACTGTAAACTGAGAAGGCTGCAAAAAAAAATGAAGACTATTCAGGTAGAGAGGGAAAGAGAATCACTTTGAGCATGTGAACATGGAAGATTTTCGCACGGCTGCAGGACAAGATGAACTGAACACAAGGTAGATCTGTTAAGGAGCGGAATTCTTTCCAGGATTAAAAAAAACCCTATGGAGTAAAGGAATACAAGAACACATTGTTTATCAGAACGTTCTCAAAAGATTTTGTGAAGTCCTTCACAAAGGGCTACTCGAGTCACTGCGAGGGCAAGAAGAACAAAGTACTGTCACAGGCAGGAAACTGACAAAAAGGATCAAAATGGGCACTGCTGATCAGATTTGAGCGTGGAAGAAGGGTATTTGGGCAGCTCTCAGAGATTAGTATCGATTTTCTTTTGGGTTGTTGTTAAGTATCTGCAAGAGGAAGCAAAGGATGTTTCAGCTGAACACAATTTTCAGTAAGGCTGACTGCACACACCAAAGGTTGTGTGCTGGGTTAGGAAATTCTAACATGAAGGGAATCCTCAGACATTTGGCAGCTAGAGCAACAGAGTACCAGAAGGACACAAGAAACAAAAAGAGAGGCCTTTGCTCATGTGCTCTAAATTACCTGCAGAAACTCTAAGGGTTTATGTCCGATTAGTACAGTTAAAAAATAAACAAGGCACTGAAGAAATTAATAATATTCACAATACATATAGTAGTATTCTTTACTGTATACTTATTGACAGTACTTTCACCTTCAGTTTGTTTCAGTTCACTCTGCTCAAACTGTACTGAACAGAGATGAAAATCTTCACAACAATGATCAGGACAAAGAATATGCTTAAAACCGAATGTAAACCCTCCAGAATTAATTTCAGTGCCCCTAAAACCACAAGAGAACAGGAGTGAAAGGAAGTACTTTCTGGTAGGATCAGTGATATCTAAAGCTTCCTGACACATTTGCCTTTTATCTCTGCTAACATTTTCCAGGGCAGAACTTCAGGAGATCCCTAGACAATCTGCTCCACTTAACCACTTGTGCTGTTGGAAAGCTTTTCCTAAAGTTTAGTCTAAATTCTGCACTTTAAGCCCTTTACATCTGATCTCATTCTATGTGAACGTGGAGGAAAAAATATTATTTTTCACTTTGCAGCACACTTTAAAGTTTTTAAATGAATTTATCTTCTTCAGTCTGAACAATCCTGATTCTTTCTTTTCTTGTAGGGCACATTTTCACTGCTATTGCTTTCTCATGAGCTATTTCCAGTTGGTCCTCATATTTCCTAAGTGCGGCGTGCAAAAGAGGCTGCAGCATTCCAGCTGACATCTTACCACTTCATGCTAGAGAGAAAGATAAGTTGTCTCAGCCGCTGGGCTCCTTCATACACATTATTTGCAGTGTTGACTCATGTGAGAGGTATGATGCTCTATGCCACCTGCTTCTTTTCCACTGGCCTACTACTCGGCCAGCCTTGCCAGTTCCACACTTGTGCAGCTGATACATTGTGCCTGAGCAAGTTGTTTACTTCAAGCAACAGCAAAACACACACTGCAATCAAAAGCCAAGTTATTTAAAATGGAAAGATAGAATCAGAAGAAAAGCAG